TCAGGAAGTCCCAGCTCCCCTCTTAGCCTTTCTACTGATTAAAGGCTGCCCAGAATGTTCTGGATAATTTCCATTACTTATAGTTAACTGCATATAGACTTCGATCTTGTATATAAAATATAACTTCATAGCAGTAGGTAATTCGGTGTTTCAGTGAATAGCTGAGGACTGGCTGGATCCAACCATAAAATTATTTTGTTGCTACTTCATAACTGTAATTTTGCTACTATTATGAATCATAATGTAAATATCTGTGTTTTCTGATGATCTTAGGCGATCCCCAAAGGGCTCACGACCCACAGGGTGAGAACCACAGTTTACCTTGCAGTTGCTGTGGGTAGGCTGTCCAGGTGCAGCTTGCCGGGTCCTTTGAGTAAGCTTCTCTTAGCTCTTCAGTCAGGTTTGACTGGAAGAGATCTGTCTCTTGGTTCATTCGCATGGCTATGGGTAGGACATGGTCTTTCCTGAGTTATTCAACGAAGGTACGGTTCTCGTCAGCAGCTGGCTGCAGGCCTCCCTTGGTTCCTAGCCACATGGGCCTCTCAGGCTCACAACCACGCAATCAGTCTGTAGAGAGCAGTAAGTTAGTGACCTCATGGTTGAAGGGAGCACCCACTATTCAGCACACACTCCAAGGGAGTCACACAAGAGTGTGAACAAGGAGGAGCTTCAGGAGCTATGTCAAAGCTGACTGCCATAATCCAGCCCATTATATCGACACCTCCTTTGGGGATGATCCACTGTGTCCTTTACCCATAACAATGAGTTCTATCTATCTGGGAGAAAAGAACTGTCTTAGTCAGGGTTTCTATTGCTGTGAGGAGTCACCATGACCATGGCAACTCTTATAAAGGAAAACATTTAATTGGTGGCTTACAGTTCAGAGGTTTAGCCCATTATCATCACGATGGGACATGGCACCTGCAGGCAGACATGGTGCTGGAGCAGGAGCTGAGAATTCTAGCATCTTTGATCCACATGCAACAGGAAGTGAACTGAGACACTGGGCATAGAAGGCCTCAGAGCCCACCTCCACAGTGACACACTGTAGCTAGAGTTTTCCTGCCTGGCCCACAGTCAGGACAAATCTCTATCACCTGCCAGTCCCACAGCCTCTCAGACCCGACCAAGTAAACACAGAGACTTATATTGGTTACAAACTGTATGGCCGTGGCAGGCTTCTTGCTAACTGTTCTTACAGCTTAAATTAATCCATTTCCATTAATCTATACCTTGCCACATGGCTCATGGCTTACCGGCATCTTCACATGCTGCTTGTCATCGTGGCGGCTGGCAGTGTCTCTCTGACTCAGCCTTCCACTTCCCAGCTTCATTCTCCTCCTTGTCCCGCCTATACTTCCTGCCTGGCCACTGGCCAATCAGTGATTTATTTATTGACCAATCAGCAACACATTTGACAAACAGACCATCCCACAGCAACACACTTCCTCTAACAAGGCTACACCTACTTCAACAAGGCCATACCTTCTAATAGTGCCATTCCCTATGAGCTTATGGTTGCTGATTACATTCAAACTGTAAGAGTATTTACCATAGAACTGTCAGATGTCATGTTTATGAACAGGTGTTTCTGGCCTGGTTACTGTGACTGTCTGAGGCCATGTGAAATGCGTTTTCATTCACTGAATTAAAAGCAGGCATTATCTGAATGGCCAGTGTACTCACGCCAATGGCCCAAAGCAAGTATGCCCACAGCAGCATGTTCTTCCTCCAGTTACCCTCCAACTCCTGACGCCCAGGAGCCTGGGGACTCAGCCAAGGCAGAAGTTAGCTTGGATGAATTCAGGTTACAAACAGCTGAGGACAGCCTTCAACTCCAAAGAGAGAGATTCCTTGGGAGGCTGGTACAGTTGGGGTTTTCTTGTAGTGTTTTTTGTTGTGTGTGTTTTGTTTTGAGATGGGGTCTCATCATGTAAGGAGGGAGGAGGCATCCTCCTTCATGCCGGGGCTGCATGTGTGTGTCCCCAGATGCAGCCGGGTGGGTGACAGTAGTCGGAATTTCCATTTGGCAGCCCGGTCCTTTACAAATGACCTCCTCCCTGAGATCTGCTTCTAGATCCACCAGCTGTAGTAGACAGTGGCACTCACTTCACGTGCCTCGTCAGTCTCCAAGGGACTTCTTCAGATGCGGTCATGCATACCCACCGGGCGCACAAGTGTGTCTGCTGCATGTGTCCACGGAGAAACACTAAATGTGGATTTCTCTTCGGGAACGCAGTTCTGAGTGTCTCAGGAGACTGATCGTCCAGTGAGGGCATCCGGGTGCCAGATGACACTGTATGCCGCTGTGATGGTATAGTCTCCTCCAGGACCACCATTTGTAGTCCAGCCCGGCACACTCTAAGGCAAAGAACAATTAGTACCATTGCAACACATGGCTGCAGGATTGTTTTTACTCACTCTGAAGACTGGCTGTTTTATCATCGGACCGTGTTATTCTTTTCAGATACCAAGCTTTGTAGCGGGGATCCCACTGAGCTAGTTGTTGGGCGAACTGGGAGGTAAGGATGGTGCCATGTCTGCTAGCCCAGGGATCCTCAGTTTGTAGTGCCCCTTCACGTCTTAACTTTATTCACAGGAATCCCTAGGCTGGAAGGAGTACCTGGTAGTTTTATTTATTTTAAGTGGTATCAGGCAAATTAGATATGCCTAACATTTGAGTAATTATTTGAAAAGATAATGCAGAGGTCATACAAAGATGTGTTTTTATCATGAGCATGATCACTAGGTATAAACTGACAAATCTCTCTTGCCTGCCTATTCCTGAATAACCACTCAGAGGCTTATATTAACTATAAATGTTTGGCCAATGGCTCAGGCTTATTACTAGCTAGCTCTTACAACTTAAATTGACCCATTTCTATTAATCTATGTATTGCCACGTGGTCGTGGCGTTACCGGTCTGCTGGCATGTTGCTCCTTGGGCGGCTGACTGGCGTCTGCCTCGACTTTCCCCCCTCTCTTCAGTTTGGCTTTCCCACCTAGCTGTATTCTGTCTGGCTATTGGCCGGATCAGCTTTATTTATCAACCAACGAGATCAACACATATTCACAACATACAGAAAGGCATCCTACAGCAACTAGGCATCTTTTAAAATTATTACTGTATGTCTGTGCATGACTGGGGGGACATGCATGTCACAGCTGTGCCAAGAAGGCCAGAAGACTACCTCCAGAGTGGCCTTTCTCCTTCTGTCTTTACATGGGTTCCGGAGATTGACCTCAGGCCTCTGTGTCAAGTATCTTTACCCTGTGAGCCATGTGTCTAGCCAACCAGCTGTCTTAATAGTCTTGTTCATGGTAGGTTCGTGTAGTTTCTGTGTAGCATATGATCTAGTCAGCAGTGTTGAAGCCTTTGACTCAGTAAACAGAAGATGTAAGGTGAGTCCATGTAGGCGACAATGAGAATCTCGCTCCCTTTCCATTTCCATATCTTCAGCCTTTTCCTCTTTCCCTACTCGGCTTCCCCTGCAGTGACTAGAAAGTCTAGAATTGTACCATCTCCATTTTCCTAATTCTTAGTTAACCCCTAGGGGAGGCATGGCCCACCACCTCCTGCTTAAGTCCGGATGGTGCGGTAGTCTCTGGAACTGTTTTCAGCTTTATCTTAGTTGGTTTTAGACAAGTGAGTGAGCTTTGCATTGCAGTGTTGCTGAGATTCTTACCCATGGTGACAAAATACTCTGACAGAAGCAGAGTAAGTGGGAAGGGGTATTTCAGCTCACAGTTCCGGGCTGCAGTCACAGGGGAAGTGAGGGCAGAGGGGCTTGAAGCAGCTGGTCACGTGACATCCTTTGGTTCCTTTTCCCCGTTTATACAGTTTGAGACGCTAGCCAGGGAATGGTACCACCCACAGTGGATGGGTCTTCCCATCTCAACTGACAGAGTTAAGATAACCCACTACAGAAAAGCCCAGAGGCCCACCTCCCAGGTTGTTCTGGGTTCAGTGGAGTTGACAGCACCGTCATAGGCATCAGCCAGATTCTAACAGACCTGTTATTTCCTGGACAAGTGGAAATAGACCAAGTTACCTGGATGTCTGGTTCAAATTCTACACTATGAGATGGAATTTGAGAGGAGACTGTACATCTGTCATTGTGGAGCAGGTCTCTCCGGGCTTATCCTTGGGGAACTAGACTTCAACATTAAGTCAGTGAATCAGATACAGAGAGACCAAGGCATTCAGACCTCCATGGGCACCTGGGCAGACCTCCACGGCTCACACAGACACATGTCCATGGGGCATCTGGACAGCCCTCCATGTCCCACACTGAAATCTCCCTATTTTCTCACCGACCTACAGCTCTTAGGCAGACCGGCAGAGCCCTGTGCTGTCTTGTCTCGAGGTGAGGGGGAGCATGGGAACATTGGTGAGAACTTCCTGTGGCATTACCAGCCCAAGTGTCTAGAGCCATTAGAAGAAGCATTGACTGTCAAATGCCATGCTCCTGTTCTCCCGGGATTGTAGATTTTTTTTTTTCACATACAGAAGTTGTTTGGGAAGATACCAACTATCTTTTGATGTGAATATGAGAATCTTTGCTCATATGTTAAAATATCTTGAGAATATGATTGCGATCCCTTTTCTCCAAAGGGTAGGAATTGTCCGGTGGAAGACTGAGTAATGCTTGTTATCTGCAGAGAATTGAGTTAGACAAGTACATTCCTCTCTACCTTTTGTAACTAGCCATAGATATAGCCTAGAAAGTCAAGTGTTAGCCTTGTAAGGGCCTGCCACAGTCTTTATATGTAATTTCTGAGTAAAATTGAACACCTCAGAAGGTATGCATTTTGTCAAAATTCATACCATTGATTCATGGCGGTTCTGTGAATACAAAAACTATGTTCTTGGAATTTTGCATCCCACTAAAGCATGGGTCTGATAAACTAGGACTTTACAGACTAGATTGCCAGTAGCCATAGACCATTTGAAACTTACGAGGGTAGGTTATGTCTAAAATTTTATCTTTGTGTTTCAGGTCTAAAAACTGAAAATTGCATTGCAAACCCAGGTAAGACATGTTTAAATGATCATCTCTGTCATGAGAATTTTATTAGGTTGTTTTTTTTTTTCTTTCTCACGAGTATGGGTCAAAGGCCACTATTGCCGCTCCCTCCCTCCCCCCTCCCCCCACCCCTGCCCTACACCACTGTACTGTCATACTGCCGCCGCCTTCATCTCTCAAGGCTAAATTTTGCTTTGTTAGTGGCTCTGAGTCCATTCGCTGCCCACCCCGAAACCAACACTCAGGAATTAAGAGTTATTAGAAAGAAAACCAGGTCATACAAAAAGGTCGGCACCCTGAGAAGATGGGGAGCACAGTTGTTTGGGGGGCCGTCTCAGGTACACAAAGAGACTTCACCAGAAGGGGAGGCGCAGGGGATAGGAAGGCCAAGTGATGAGTGAGTCATACAGAGGGCTGACAGCCATTACGTCTCACAGTGTGCCTTCCCCGTTTCTGCTGGGGTATCCTTGACATGAACACAGACTTTCCGTTTCCTAGGCTAGTGCCTGTGGCCCTTTTACTAACACATCATTTCTCTGAACATTAAACATGATCCCACTTTTAATTAAAGAATAATACCACCAAGCCCTTGTCCTGCATTTTGAGGTTATCTGAAGAGCACCACGCAGACCAGGCAACAGGAAACTCTGGAAGGATAATGGCCTAGGACCTTCCAGGACAAGTGTCTTTCTGTCTCCTTTTCCCACAGTAACTAGGTGACTCCAGCAGCTGTGTCTGGGTCATTTACACGTAGTTTTCTTGAGAATTTATAGTGCTGGGTAGAGGGGAACTACGGAGCCACCTCACACAGGGCACGTCGCAAAGTGAGTCAGTCCAGAACAGGGCAGTTCAAGATGCGTGGCATAGCCAGATTACGGTCACACTGTCATTGCTATGTCCTGTGGGGAGCTGTCTCCACCCCATCCTGATCTTCTTGTCCTGGGCAGCCCAGGGCATGCCACTCTAACTCCGTCCCACCTTATAGGACTTACGGCTTTAGCCATTTCCCACCCGGCTCCCGTGCAAAGAGCTAGACTCCAGTTCCTGCATTTTGGTATCTCAGGAAATAAGATTGGGGAGAGGAATGGAGGAATGGAGGGAATGCGGCGTAAAGGAGAAAAGAGGCCTGGTGGAACCGTGATGGGCCCGCTTCCGCTTCCTTGGGGGAAATGGGGAGATGTAACAATAAGTACTGTCTGCTAGAGAGGGTGGGAGGGTTGGGAAGGTACACCCGGGGAACTCTACGTATGCGGAGGCTCGGCATCGTCGTGTGGGTCGCATGCTGTCAAAGTGCCAAAAATGCTTCAACTGGCTCATGCTGTCAGGGAATCGTCTGGAAGACTTCCTCACTGAAGTGTTTGGAAACAAGCGTCCATTTCTAGCTGTCTTCCTGACTAGCTTTTCTATGCGTTGTTTTTTGGGTTAAAAAAAAATCCGTATCTCCATATTTTTGAATTGAAATTTTATGGTTTTTGTAACCATGCTTTGTATATTTTTTGAAAGTAGGTCAGCTCAAATCCTCATGATTAGTAAGTATTTAAAAATAGACTGGCCTTGGCATGGCATCTGGGCACAGTAACATGGATGGAAATGTTTGTATTTCAGAATATATGGAACCTGTGTATGTCTACAACCCTGGTGAGTATGCACTTTTACAAACAGTCCAGCAAGCATGTTTAATAGCTCTTTCCTGTGGGGCAAATGCACTTCCTACCCGAGTGAAGGTGGTCCCTGGCAGATCCAAGAGGAAGGGAACCAGTGTATTCTGGGAAATGCCCTCCTTCCCTGCAGTTGGTCGCTCTGTGGCCCTCTGAGCAGCCAATGTTCTGGGGGGTAAGGACAGGGGTACCCGAGGAGCTCACTCAAGGCCAGTCTGTGGGGCATGCATAGCCCTATACTCCTCTGTTGGAATTAGCATAGGCAAGTGACACCCACCTTCAAGTGGAAATTAAAATTCTCAGCATATGTGCCACCCCCAAGAAGCCAGATGTTTGATGTGTCCATCGAGCATCTTGAGCTAATTAGGATTACCACATAGGAAAACACGAAAGTGTGCTCTGAGGTGTTACAACCTGTCCCCACAGAGGCAAAGCTGCTGGCTGGCCCACACCCTGGGGACGTGCCTACAGTGCCCCCTACTGGCCCTTTGCATTCACAAAATTCTGACCCTTGCCCAGGACCTCGGCCAGCTCTTGACACTCCCAGGACACTAGTTGTGTGGAGGCGCCAGAGAAGGGCCCCGCCCGTTGCCCACATGCACGGAGACTCTAGGTGGTACTTGTACTCAGCGATGCGCCTCCAGGTCCTTTACAGTTCTTCTGCTCCCTTGGTAAAACTGATGCATTTTGCTTGTTTGTGACGTAGATCTGGAAAGTCAGAAGCTTGAAGACTCTGGTAAGACACTCTTGTAAACTCGGGGACTTCACATTTGCAAGCTATGAGCCGGTGGGGAGAAGTGGGGAGAAGCAAGAGCCCATCTTGGCTTACTAGTTTGATCCATCAGAGTGAATTCTTTGTAAAAAACTATACAGCACCCATGCCTGTAGTCATCCCAGAAAGCAGAGGACAGTGTGGCTGATTATTCTGCAAACTCTTGTGACCCAGAGTTGTTGACAAAACAAATAGCATTTATTTTTCCTAAGTTAAAATGATAATTGTTTGAATGTGCATCTGAGTAACATGTGTACTCATGTTCATTTGATGAGTTCATTCCAAAGTATAACTTACTCCAAGGTTTTTAATTAGAAAGGAAGGAAGGGAAGGAAGGAGGAAAGGAAGGAAGAAAGAAAAGAAAAAACTATGGGCTGGAGAGATGGCTTGCTGCTCTTTTAGAGGATCCAGGTTCAGTTCCTAGCATCCACAGCAGGTGGCTCACAGAACTGTAATTCCAGTTCAGCAGATCTGATGCCTTCCGGCCTCCACAGGTACCTGTGAACAAGTGGAACACATATACCCACTCACGCACACACATATACACATAGAAATAAATAAATGTTTTTCTGTGTGAGTGTGCGTGTGCGTGTGTGTGTGCACAGGCCTGTGGAGGCCAGAGGTTGATACCAGGTGTCTCCCTAGATCACTCTGTGTACTGAGGCAGGGTCTGTGAACAGGAAGCCCTCCGATTCTGCTAATCTGGCTAGCCAGCATGTTTCGGAGCTCCCATTTCCACCTCCCACACGCAAGGGTTATAGGCTGGCCACGACACCCACCCGGCTAAGCTGTGGGTTCTGGGGACCCAAACTGTGGTGCTCAGGCTTGTGGTGTACGGCAAGCACTTTATCCAGCAAGCCATATCCAGCTTCCAAGTTTCTCTTTTTTAAACTTGTTCGTGTCTTCAAGTGCTAGGGTAGGAAAGTTTAAAGTTACTGAAGAAATTATTGGAACACTTTTCTATTTCCTTTCTTTTCCATGGTGCCTGGAATCAAACCCTGGGCCCCCTGCAAGCTAGGTAAGCACACTCTTGCTGAGATATACCCCCTGCCCTTGGAACCAATTTTCTAACGGTTGATCCAAGAGTATGTGTCACTAACCTTAAACATGACTCTCCCCTTAACCGGTTATAACTTGGAAACTAGGACAGCATAGAAACGCAAGTGTAAAGCTGTAGCTCCCTGTCTCGGCCTCGGCGGCGGCGGTGTGTTTAAAAAGGACAGCAGAGCCAGCAGAGGCCGGTCTTTCAGGACGAGGCTTCCTGCATGCGAGATGACTGCCGTATCACTGAGCTGTCTCAGCCCTCTGGATGTTTTAATTTTAAGACAGAGTCTGAGCTGAGCACGACAGTGTGTTGGTTATGCAGCTCATTATTTTGTACAATCAGTATAAAACAAAAAAGTGTGGTGGTACAACTTATAATCCTAGCACTTGGAAAGGTTGGCAAGTTTGAGGGTAGCCTGGGAAACAGAAATACCCTGTCTCAAAATTATAAAAACTCAAACCAAAAACTTGGATTTGATCCCCAGTACCATATTTTTTTTTTAAAAGATATATAGCCGGGTGATGGGGCCAGCCTGGTCTACAAAGCTAGCTTCAGGACAGCCAGAGCTACACAGAGAAACCATGTTTTGAAAAACAAACAAACAAAAAGATATAAATAACACAAAGTATCTATAATTAAAAAATATATATGTATATATATGCAAAAAGATTCAAAGTAAATATACCAAAAAATGTTACAAATTAATATTTGCGATGTGAGCTTTTTAATTAATTTAATCCTCAATTTTCCATATTTTTCACTTCTACAGTTATCATGTATTATGTATATGACCAGAAAATATTATATAAAACATCATATAGAAGATAATGTATACATAATACATATAACACACACATATACACACACACACATACAATACAAAATGAAAACTGTGTCAGAGACTTTGGACAGATTTTCATACTACCATTTCTGTGTGTGTGTGTGTGTGTGTGTGTGTGTGTGTGTGTGTGTGTGTGTGTGTGTGTGTGTGATGGGGGCACCCCCATGCTGTAACACACACGTGGAGGTCAGAGGACAACTTGCAGAAGTTTTCTCTCTTCACTGTGTGGGTTCCAGGGTTGAGCCTCAGGTCGGCCGTGGGTGGCACGTGTCTGAGCCTGCTGAACCGTCCTGCTGGCCCTGGACTGATTGATTGATCTTAATGAAGAATTGTCCGCTTACCGGAGGCGCTCTCCCGAGTGGCGAGCCATAGTCCTCCCTGTGAATTAAGCTTCAGTGTCTAATGACTCTGCCCTTCTCTTGTCATTTTGTACCGTTGTTCCTCAAAGCTTTCTGAGCTTTTCACTACGAAGAGTCCAACATACACCTAAATTTATTTGGAAGCTGAGTACTTCGCCTCACTTTGTAACTGGATCTCATGTAGCCCAGGCTGCCCTCTGACTTGCTATGTAGTAGAGAATGGCCCTGAACTCCTGATCTTCCTGCCTCCACCTCTCAAGACTGGGATTCCAGGCACCAGCTCCCACTGACTCTACCCTCATCCCCACCCCCTAACACACATACAAGAAAGCTCTTATGCTTAGCTTTAGAAATAAAAAACTAGGGCTAACCTGGTAAATGAATTCTCTTTTTCTCTGTCAGATTAGCTACCAGGTCAAGTAATTAAATTCCAAATTAATTTAGGTTTATGTTGGACTCTTTGTAGTGAAAAGCTCAGAAAGCTTTGAGAAACAACGGTACCAGATTAAGCCACTATAGGTGGGACATTTATCACTTTCGAGAGTTTTTTGTTTGTTGGTTGGTTGGTTTTTTTCTTCGAGACAAGGTTTCTCTGTGTAGCTTTGTGCTTTTCCTGGAACTCACTCTGTAGCCCAGGCTGGCCTGGAACTCACAGAGATCCACCTGCCTCTGCCTCCCGAGTGCTGGGATTAAAGGCATGCGCCACCACCGCCCGGGCTGGAGAGATGGCTCAGCCATTAAAGGCTAGCCTCACAACCAAAAATGTGAGTTTTTTTTTAATGCTCTGTGCAGCAAGCCAAGCATTTGATGTAATATTTTCCATTAATTCTCACTTCTTATAATATGCAAGCTATTTCTTTTGCATACTCAGAGACTTCAAAGTCAGAGCTAGTACCTACAGTGAGATGGGCATACAAGCAGAGACTTCAGCCCAGTACTGTTTCATTTAAAAACGATGGATCACTTAGCTAAACATGGAGTGATGAGAACTACATCGTAGATGCTCCTGAAATCTTGCTTAATGGATTTGAATTCTTATTGTTGTTGCTGTTACATTTCTGACTTACCTATTTAAAGTTTGGAGATGGGAGGCAAAGGGGGAATGTTAGCAGTGCCACTAACTGATAAACACCAACAGCATTTATTTCTGCCTTTAGGTAGGAAAAGCTTCGAATCCACTGGAATACCAGGTAAGGTTGTTTTCTCTTTACTAAGAGCCGGTCTGAGCATTACAGCCGATGCCAGGGATGATACTCAAGGTTTCACTTAAGCCTTGTGCTGGTCACCTCTACAGCTTTCTCTGGGGAAGACCATAGACTGTGCCCACCCAGCCTTCCTAGGTTGCTGGGGCACTGGCTCTGGGCAGGACAGCTAAGCTGTTTGGAACATGGTTCAGGGCCAGCTTGCTGGGACCTGCCTGCAGGGGTCCAGGCCTTCCTGAAGCTCTGTAGACACTCTTGGACAGGCCAAGCATCCAGGCTCACGGCTGTTCTGGGACCTGCAAGTAACAAAACACGGTACTCTGATGGTGCAGACACAGCTCAGTGAGGTGCTGTTCACAAGATCCCCAAGTCTGCTGTGGATGTGCCCAGTGAGGGCTCATGGACCCAGAGCTGTGCCATCACAAGCCTGAAGCCATAGTGCAGTGGGACCCGGGGGTGGCGTCAAGTGCTCATGACACAGAGCTCAGGAGCAACCAGAGGCCACTTAAGCTCTTTTCTTGTTTAGGAAAGAAAACTTCAGGACCTTTTCTACTTCCTGGTGAGCAAGAAATGCGAGCGCAGGGATAGAGACATAACTGTCATCATTACACGTGCCAGGAAGTCTTTGCACATGATCGCATGCGAGTGAAGGACCGGGGTCTTTTACTGTTCCTTCCTCAATGCTTGATTTCCTTGGTGTTTTCCACTGTATTTACCATGACAGATGCCACCTGCCTTCCACAGCTGCCATGAACAAGTGTGGTTTTAAAAGTGTGAGGGCTAGCCGGGGGGTGGGGGGGTGGGACGCAAGCACTGAGGGGCTGAGCGACTGTGATCAGAGAAATGGAGCTGAGACTCCAGTAAGAGTCCTCAGAAGTCCCTCAGTCACGGGAATATCAGTAAGGAATATCAAACAACCAATGCTTAATATCCTTCCCCTGGGTTCATTCAGTGATTTGAAAGATTTTTTTGCTGTGGATTTTGTTAATTATGGGCATGATCATCTGTTAATTATGGGCATGATCATCTGTTAATTATGGGCATGATTATTTAGTGGGATTGAACCTAAGGCTTATGCATACTAGGCGAGTACCCTACCACTGAGCTACATTCCCAGCAAAATTTAGCCTGTGCTAAAATCACATCCATGGTTCTGACCATTCTGGACACTGCTGTCTATTTTAAACAGTAGGCCATGTAGAAACAGCATGTCACAGCTAACTCATAGAACAGACACACAAAGCAGGTCCAGCAACTGTTTCGTACTGATCCAGATCGGCATTGTTCCCCTTACATCACTTCCAGTCTTGGGATCTGAGTTTGCACAGTGCCCTCCCAGGGGTCTTCACAGTCTACTCTGTGGCCATGTGAAAAGCACCTTCTAAGCGGAGTGTGGAGGACACATGTGAGCTGTGCGGACAGACCTGGCATTGAGTCCCCCTCTGCCGCCTGCCTCTGGTAACTGTGCAATGACTCACTTTATCCCAGCATCCTCCATTGTAAGGTGCAGACGGTTCTACCTTTCAGTGCTGAGGATCTGATGTCACAAACCATCCGACAGTAGTAAAACAGTGCATAGAAGCTGCCTTTTTTATTAACTGAAAACCTTTTTTTTCATTTAGAAATTAAAGTGCTACAACCAGATGAAAACCTTCTCCGGCCAGATGAAAAGCCTGGTAATTCTTCATGGGGCGAGGCGCACGAAGTTCTAAGTTCTTTACCATCATCATTCAGATAGCTCGGGGTCTGGGGGAAGAACTGGGCTGTACAGTTCTGACATCCCATCCTGACGTTAGAAGGGGGAAGTGCTGAGAACTCATCTCTGTGTGTGCAGGTAGCTAAAGCCCAGAAAAGGGTAGGTGGCCTGATTCTGGACAACGGTGTCCAGCTGCACCTTTATTCCAGAGCGAGTCAGGAACTGGGTCCAGGGTGTCTGTAGATACAAGAATACACTGTGCAAAGTGGAAATGAGACCCTCACAGCCATGCAGGACCAGCTCTTCTGTGTCAGCATGCCTTCTCTTTCCTCAACAGCCAGATTTTGTGAGGAGACGATGCCTTGTGTCTCTCCCGTAAAGATGCGTTGTAGTGCAGGCTTTTTAAGGCTTGACTCATCTAATCCAGCAAAGTAGATGCTGTCGTTGCACAGCAAGATTAGGAATCTGGTGAGGTCAGAAAGAGACAGCTAGGCTGACACCCATCTATTCTGGACTCCTAAGACACAGCATTTAGATTTAAGATTATGAAAATGTGAGTATCAGTATTCCAAGGCTAGCCACGTACCTGGTGGTGGCAGACCACAGCAATGGAGCAGAGGTCAGTCACTGATCCCATGGATGCATCAGCTCTGATTCCATGCACACTGTGTCTCAGACAGTGCAGATGGCTGCAGTGTCCTTGAGGTGCTAGCTGTGCCCAGTAGGATGATAATGTGCTGATCTCATAATGCACTGGTACTCAGTAAGTGGGAGACGGGATGGCTTGTACTTGGCAATCTGAGTTCAATATATAGAAAAGGGTTCTTTTTGGTAAACACACTTCACATTTATTTTAATGAAAACACACATTCATGAGGGAAACTTTTCAGAGAGAAGATAGGTCAAATGAAAGCCTTCTCTAGCCTCACACATGTCCCTGGACCAGTTTACCTTGGCCCCAGGCCCACACCCAAGGGGAGAACAAGCCTGTTCCAGCTTTATGAGATCTTTCTGGAGAAATATATAATACAGTAACCCAGAATCTCTTTATGTTCTAGAAGGCAAAAGTCAAAGAAATGCGGACAATCCTAGTAAGAAATACCTTCTTTTCTTCAGATGATAAATGCTGTGAAATATAAAAATGTGAAGTCAATTTTTTTCTTATTAAAAGTTGCATGCGCTTATGTGCATGCCTAAGAGGCCCCACCACCACCCATCTGTTTACTTTAAATGACCATTAGCTGTCTAGAGACTGTATTTACAACATTTTCAGTTCTCTTAAGCCATCCTTTAAAAAAAAATTTTTTTCATAAAACCATCATAGCATCCTGAAATAAGATTAGCGGTAAGATGTACCTTACCCGTAAAAGAATTGGCATGTTCCGACAATATTTGTAGTTATATGCCTCAATGCATAAATGCTAAATTCATAAAGTAGACATACCCTCCATGAAAATTTGGGTGAGGGGCATACTGGAAGCTATTCCTTGTACGATCAAAGTGAAGCAGCAGCAGACAGTAGATGAACTGTTTAGTGTTAATTAAAACTATCACAACAGCAGGTGGTAGTGGCGGCCCAAGCCTTTAACCCAGCACTCAGGAGGCAGAGGCAGGTGGATCTCTGTAAATTCAAGGCCAGCCTGGTCTACAGAGTGAGTTCCAGGACAGCCAGGGCTACAAAGAGAAACCCTGTCTTGAAAAAACCAATCAGGGGGCTGGAGAGATGGCTCAGAGGTTAAGAGCACTGACTGTTCTTCCAGAGGTCCTGAGTTCAATTCCCAGCAACCACATGGTGGCTCACAACCATCTCTAATGAGATCTGGTGCCCTCTTCTGGCCTGCAGTCATACATGCTGTATACATAATAAATAAATAAATCTTAAAAAAACAAACAAACAAACAACTCTGCTAAGCTTTAAAAAAAATGTTTAAAAAAAAAGAAAAAAACAATCGGAAATGGCTTACATGGCAAGCTGCTCCAGGTTGTGTGAGCACTGGAAGCAATTTTTGATTTACATGTGTCCGGCAGCATACTTGCAAACTGCAGAGGGTAGGTCCATGCTTCTTTGTGGAAGGCTATCCCGAGCATTTCAGATCTAGCTCCCAACAGTAAAAAGTTTCCTTCAGTGGCAGAGCTAGTACCTGTAAGGCCCAAGTTCAGTCGTTAGCACCTCCATTCTACCCTGGACAGCTTCTAGATTGCTTCTCAGGTGCAGTACTGCCCACTTGTGAACGATTGTCTGTAGAGCATCCTGGTGCACGGGTGACCGACATTCCACCTCTAGCCACGTGACTGCCATGTCTGCAACTCTGGCAAGCAAACTGACAGGAAGCCCTAGAAAACTACTGTTTCTCTTGGCTTCATGGATGAAAGCTGACTGGTTCATTCATAAACTCCGTGAGAACGCTCCCTTCCCTATGCACTCTGCTTAAACAAAAAGTGTAAGCAAGTTACCTGGGTTTAAAGCAGAGTAAAACAAGCTAGTTTTCCCCAAAGCCATGTCCGTGTGGAGGAAACTTTTTTTTCCCCATTTGTAGGCTGTGTTTTTAAAACGCAGATATATCCAGCTACACTGATATCCGTATGAATGTGCACACACAGTCATGTTTGAAACAAGACACTTGATAAACTTTACAATTCTGGTGCACTCGAACAAGAAATAATTGTCTTGGTTGCCTAGATAGACTTAAAAACCCTATGAAATCTGAGAAAACAAAAAACAAAAACAAAAACCCTCAAACAGTATGCCCTGATGACACATGTAGAAATGTAGCTTGAAGCTTCGAAGCTGTGTGTATGTGCAACGTTACCTGACTTGTTTCAATGGGCTTCTAACACAGCCGGCCGCAGTTCACAGTTGTGCTGTCTGTGGCAGGTGGCCAACACTCAAGACATACCACAAAGTGATGTGTCCATGACTCTGTTCTCTCCAACAGCTCCAGGTCCACGTCCAGTTCCACGTCCCAAGACCCATCCTTCTGCATCCTCTGGCAGAAGGCTCCTCCCGCCAGTCACAGCATCCATCGTTTTAGTCGTGGCTTCTGCTGTAAACATCCTCACTGCTCTATAGCTTGAGACGATATCTTAACCTTTATTTGAAAGGCGCTAAGGGGATCCCACAGGAGGTCACGAGAAGAGATGTGACAGACAGACTCACTGCATAAAATAGGAACTGTGTATCTCTTCCCTGTTTTACAGTTTAAAAAGCTGGTCCAAATAGTGTCATAGAATTAACTTTTCATCTCTGATTAATTTTAGGATTGAAAAAATCCCAAAGCTGTATACTTTTGATTGGACTCAATAAAACTTTTAAGTTTATTAAATGTCTTCCTACAGAATTTCCAACTATTAAATTACTCATGTGATTAACATGAATTTAATGCCAGAAACAAAATGCAAATGATGCTTGTTTCTTTCTGAAGAATCAAACTTCAAATAAATAGGCAGACAGGGAAAGTGAGTGAGCTCCTAAGACAGCGGGCAGCCTCGTGTTCCCAGGGACAAAGCCCTCGAGAACAGCAGGCAGGAAGCAGCCCCTTGGGGACCCTGTAAGACTTCCCACAGGGAGCTGTTACCTTCTGTCTCCCCTTCTCAGCAAACCCCGCTTCTCCTGGCAGTGTGCACACGTGCTCCAGCAGAGGTGGGACGAGTGAGAGCCTTGACTAGCTACCCACTGCTGAGCCTGAACTCAGCAGTCATCGTTTAGGTCTACGAAGGGTACACAGAGCAGCAGACCCTCCTTTCTGCACTTGGCTCCAAAGACGGGAATGGACCTACCCTCTGAGCCAAAGTGAGAACGAGTTCATGCAGAGAAAACCCTCTCCCCAAACCACTGCCATTGCAACAAGCATGAAATTAAGATCAAAACCCCAGGGGAGAGCGGTGTTACGTAAGCATGCCATGCTCAGCGGCAGCGACTGCTAGCAGCCAACTTGGAAAGAAGTTTTGAAGCGTCTGGTCTTTACGGTGTAACCGCCTCTGCGTCAGTAGGATTCTAGACCCAGCACTTTCCCTACCCTCCACGTTGGTACAACAGCAAGATTCACGGTGTTCTCTCATAATGTCCCCCAGTATAAGCCAAAGCACCACACAGAAGCGTAACGTCGTTACAGCATTTGGGAAGGTGTCAACAGCGGCAGCCCAGGTGAGTCCTGCAGTCAGAAGTCGTATTTAAAAGCGGTGTTCTGTGGAAGAATTACATTGTCTACTCAGCCACTGTTTCAGATGCTGACATAAGAGGGAACTCTTCATCCTAGATGATTTCATTTATTATACTCTAGCCAAAATGTCAGCACTGACAAGTCCTTAAACAAAACACCACAGGACAGACACTACATGAAATTGCAAATTAATAATTTATTTTAAAGATTTCATTTTTAGAAATAAAAAGTTAAAAAAAAGTTTGCAAAAACGGTGATTTTGTTAAATCCTAATTGGTTAGGTATGTTCTGTAAGTTCCAAATAAGTAAAATAATATAAAAATATATCTTCAAGTCTTCATAGAACAAAAGGAAAACCACACAAATCATGAAATACTTGGGATTCTCTTTACTCTCCACCGATGATTTCACAGCTATAGAAGCTGAAATGCATTTACACTCCGGAGCATAGTCTCCAACAGCCACGTAATTACAGTTACTTTGTTAGGTAGGAAGCAGCCATGTTTCATTCTGTGCTATGGAAAGAGAATGGAGACTAACCAGAAAACACTGTGACTACGCCTAATGCTGTTGTAAAATGTACAAACAGTGCAGACACTTTGGGTAACTGTGTACTTTTTTTTAAAGTAAATATAGCTTTTAGATATAAATTTTTCAAAGATTCCCTTTGAAGAGCTTTGTGGTGTCCATTTCCGATTTAATGTACAGTAATTTCTCAAGAACCTCAAACATCCCAGTGAGGAAAAGGATTCTTTTTCCCGTCCATGTGGTCATCATAAGGAAGGGCTGATGGACAAGATGCACTTGCTGAACCTCTGAACAAGTCTGTCAATGGTCAGCTAAAGACACCACCTCTGCTGTGGATGGTTTCACTCAATCCATGTTCTACCAGTTTTATGTCTTCTAGGTCATCTTTTATGATGCTGATCAAGTGGCTGAGGCCTTCCTGTTGTTGTTTCAAATGCTAGAATGAATTAAAGAAAATATAAGATGAGTGTACTGTTCTGTTAAACTGAAGGTTACTCACAAAGTACTCACAATACAGCTCTTAGTGACTAAACACAAGCAGCATGCACAGTGGGACAGTGATCATCAGCACAAGATCACTCTAAAACCAGGTAGACCAGACAAGTATGCATCGACAGTATCTTTAAAATGTGTCGTCTGTATTTTTACAGACAGAGCCTTGAACCAGTGCTCCTGCCTCCCGAATGCTGGGACTGTGGGTGTGCACTACCACAGTGTGTGTCTGTGGTGCTGGGGACTGAACCCACAGTTCCATGCACAGTAGGCAAGCACTCTCTCTACCAGCTGAGCCAAATCCCTAGTCCCAGCTTCTCAATTTCACACACATACCGACCATCTAGACTGTTATAAAACGCAGCTGAGAGGATTTGGAGGAAGCCTGAGATTTACCTTCCCAGTGACCTGAGTTCTGCAGCTGTCTACCCTTTGGCACTTCTATTACATAGATATTTGGCTCTTTGCTGTGGCATAACAATACATGGACCATTTTCAGTGTGAAGGATGTTGTGTACATGCACATCATTGGTCACTGCTTCACAGAAGGGCAATCATACAATACTTGTCCTTGTATGACCACATATTTCAAGATCTATCCATGTTGTTGCATGTGTCAGAATTTCCTCCTCTTTAGGAGGGAGTAATACTCTACTATATGTGTGTGCACACAGGTGTGTAAGTGTCTGTGCAGATTGCTGCCTTCAACTTCCTGGGGTGTATATATCCAGAGATAGAGCTGGTTGGGCATGGTGGCACACACCTTGAATCTCAGCACTCAAGTGGCAGGGCAGTCAGATCTCTGAGTTCAAGACCAACCAGGGTTACATAGTGAGACCTTGTCTTTCAAAAATAAACAGAACTGCCAGATGATACGGTAATTCTACTTTTAATTTTGTTTTTTGTTTTTTTTTTTCCGAGACAGGGTTTGTGTATCCGTGGCTGTCCTGAACTTGCTCTGTAGACCAGGGTGTTCTCAAATTCACAGAGATCCACCTGCCACTGCCTCCCAAGTGCTGGGATTAAAGGTGTGCGCCACCATTGCCAGCCTACTTTTAATTTTTTGAGGAAGCAATTTTTTTTTAAATTTTATATTACTTAAATGTGCCTGAAGGTTACAATTTCTCCACATTCCAATGGATGAGTATTTCTGCTGTTGACCAGCACCCACCCTGATGGCTATGAAGCTGTGAGCTGACACTTACCTGCTTGATTTCTCTTAAGAGGTCTGCATCTATGTAATATCTTTCTTCAGATTTCACAGCTCCAAAATGATTCTGCATCCTGATCTGGGACATCAGTTCATTTAGGCGACCCTAAAGATGAGTCAGAAACAAGCGTTAACAATCACAGCTACTCCTAAAGACGATGGCTGTTTTTGAAAAGATAGCTTCAAAACCATTAGTTACAACTCCCAGGTCTTTGATGTGAAGCACTAATGCAAGCCAAAAGTACCATGACTGAGCATTTATTTTAGGAAGTTTTAATTAGTGTGAACAAATGCTTAAGACACACAATGCTCCACGTTCCTCTGTGATGGCTACTCAACTCTGTTTAGATCACCTCAAACAACCTCTAGCTGGATCGACTTCCAAGTGCTTACTTTGAACTGAGTAGGTGCATTGAGTTCACCCTGGATAGTATCTAGCTGGACCCGCAACTGTTCTTCATCAGCCTGGATGGCATAGCCACTCTTCCTTTGGATTTCCTGTTTGATTAGAACCTATAAAAGACAAGATATCAAACGAGCTAGTAGAATGCTCTTTAAAATCGATTATGGACTTGCTGATAAAAAACTGGCTAAGAACTAATATAGGGGTGCTTTGAAATGCTAGCACTTGGGAGGCTAAGTAAGGCATGAGGACAAGTCTGAGGCTGGCCTGAGGAACAGGAGAGTTCCAGGGCAGCCTAGGCTGCAGAGCTGAGACCCTGCCTCAGACAGTAAAAACCCAAACATTAAACAAACAAACAAGTGTTTTACGCTTACTCTGAAGTGTTTTAGGACAGCTGCCTACATTCCAATTAGATTTTCTTATTAAAGAAAATATCTTTGTATAAATTGTAACACTGCTAAAATCAATGCTGTTTGTAAATTTACCATTTTTGAACTCAAAGACTATAGAAAAAAATAAAAATCATTTCTGTGTTTTGAGACAGGGCTCATGTAGCCCAGGGTGGCCTTAAACTTGACTTGTGCATAACCTTAACTACTCATCCACTGTCCTATCCAAAGGGCAGGATTACAGGCATGCACCACAACATCCAGATTTGGTCAGTCCACTGTAGCCTCCAACCTCCTGGTCAGGTGAGCATCTCGCCACTCTCTGAGCTATACGGGCAGTCAAGCACTGGCAAAAGGCTGCCCAGCAGGAGTAGCTGTGGCCTAAATGGGTGAGTGGCTCCCACTCACTGAGAGGCATGGACATTCTCTGTAGCATGATAAAAATATCCTAAAACTCATCACTGGAATGGCTGCATGGGACTGTAAACACTGAAAACAGACTACTCACTCACAGATGGTATATCCTTTAAGTGAGGTAAGTGTATGGTATATGAATTATATCCCAATGAAATTGTTCAAAAAGGAAAAAAGGAAGCCATCAATGTAAAATAACACAAGAATTAGCCTTTTATTAGCTCGACAGAACTCAACAATGAAATCAGCTACACTGGGGGTTTTCCACATGGACTTGAGTGACTCTCCCTCTGCTTTCTGGGCGGGTACCAGTTTCCTCACTTGGCTGCCCTTACCTTCGGTAATTTTTATTTGTTAGAAAATCACCTATCTCCCCTAGGAGAAATGTGTACCATCTTTTATTATTTAGGTCTATGTGTGTGGCACTGTCCCTCTGATTCTGGATGTTTCTCTCCCTCTGAGAAGGTTCTGTTCTGTTTCAGGTCTGTCCACTGTTATTCTGAACGTATTGCTGGTTCCTCAGCTCTCTCTCTTACAGGTTTCAAGCTTACTTCAGTATCTCTAAAATCTAACAGTGAGCTCCTATTTTAACTGGTGTTTTTGACGCAGGCTTTTGCTCGTGTCCCATCGAATCTGGTACGCAGCACTTGTTTTTATGAGGATTTATGGTTTCACCTTTTGTTGCTGTTCCGTTCCGTCTGTTAAACTGGGAATTGGTTTTAATCATTACTACACGGCCACATTCCTTTTCCTGCACTCAAAAATGTTTTCCGCTTTATGGAACCAGGAGTCATCGATTTTATACCTTCCCTTGTACCCAAACTGTTTCTGTCACCTGTCACTAAGATGAACTTTATACTATTTTTACTCTTATCTCCCACCCTAGAGGATCCTCCGACTTTTGGGTCTTCTTCCTATTTAAAATCACTTCCTGATTTGGCATACATTTCACATATAACCCCGTCTAAACATTGAGGGAATTCCAAATTATTACCTGTAAGGTTCTGTGGGAGAGATCCATGAGTTTTCGCTTGTATTGTGCTATTTTGGCCATAGTTGTAGTTTGATTCTTTTGTAGTTCACTAATATCTTCAGATATGATCTGTTGAAAGAAATGTTTCTGAGGATAAATCCAGTAGGACATAGCAGCTGTTTAACAGGTCCACCTACATGGACAAGCCTGATTCTCGGATAACCTCTCAAAACATTATCTTTAATTTTATTATTTCTACATTTCCTTTTCTTTGTATATGTGTGTATGTCATGTCTGTGTAGGTGCACCAGAGTCCAGAGAGGGTACTGGATCCCCTAGAGGTGGAGTTAGTTACAGGCGGCTCTGAGCTGCTTGATATGGGTATCTGGAACCCAACTTAGGCCCTTTGAGGCAGTACAAGCTTTTAACTGCTGAGCCATTATCCAGCCTCATAATTCTGTATTTTGTTTCCTTCTTTACATATCTATTCCAAGATTTCTTTACAGCTTTAAGATATTTAGTAATGAGGCAACACACAGGGAAAACAGTAACTTTTCAGAAGTAAGGAATTTTAAATAGTACATCAGAATAGATCCAATAACCAGGCCTGAATGGAAAAAGTTAAGATCTATGAACACTGTTGGGCTTAGGGTTCA